GATTTGATGGTGAGCTATGTTTCTGTGAGAAAGTGCCACTAAGTATTACGAGTGAAAATACTTGGTGGCTCACAAGTTTCCTATTTCCGCGGAGGTGTGTCATGTCATCAGGATGTCGTTACTCAGAATGAGTGACGATTTGTCATATTTTTTTCAATGTATGAAGAAAGTTTCGCTATTTCTCTTAAATTCCAATTTAAATAAAAAAAACTTAAAAAATTAAATTACCGCCCGGTCTTCTATCATTCATTTCTCCATGAATAACACTGATTGCTTTAGTTGTGGACAACAAGAAACGTTGGTTCATCCAGTCTTTCCTGACTTGTAAAAGAATTGAGAAATGATTAGAAGAAATGAACTCAAGTGTAAATTAAAAAGTAATAAATCAACAACTATTTTTAGTCGTAAGGCATCTCAGCCATGGGAATAAGCGTCGTAATATTGAAGCTCCGCCCATGGCGCTTCCAGCAGGTTACTGGGTTCTGGCTGTGTACGGCATATCTTAGTTTAATAGTTTACACGATTGTCTTAATTATGAAGGAGCAGAACACATTTTTCATTGTTCTAAAGAATGTAAAATGCGGTTAAACAACGTTGCATTTCTAAAGGCTATGAATGAAATCGGGATTTCCAATCATTCATTGAAATCTGAAATGTACCTATATAATTAGAGAGTCACACGGAACGGCATTTTATCAACATGAACCCTCAAACTTAACCGCATACCTACTTAACAAAGCTCAATCATGTGCTTCAGTCACAATGATTCAAAGTTTTTCTAACATTTCGTTCACATTATTAATTTCGATTGGAGTATCGTGACTTGTTTTCCCATTAAAATCTTCTTCAAAATTTTTACGGCACTTGGCTAGCTCTGTCCCCCGACGCTGCTTCGCAGATTTCGACTGCAGAGCACACTCCATCGATTTAAGGCACTGAAAATATGCCAAAATGTTCATCATCCAACAAACTTTATATTTTTCATTCGAAAGGTCAGATAGCTGACATATGCATGATTTTATCAATTCTGATATATTATCAATATTTTTAATCAATTCTGATCTAAAATTCCTAAAATTTGAGAAACCTGGAGCTTTCATCGCTTGCATTCTTGTCGACTACTCCTGCCCATACCGTATCGCAGTATCGCACATCCGGTGCCTCTGGACTTCTCTCGCTAGTTAGGACCCAAAGCTGGGAATGAGACAGTGTTCCCTGGTGCTCGGTTGGCCAAAACACATGGTTTCTTAATTCTATTCGTACATTTATGGTAATATATATATATATATTTAGAAAAAAATAGTCTGTTGATTTGTCACTCTACATCTGCACGTCATTCTCGAAGAAATATTAGTTTCTTCGGTGGGATCCACGAAAATTCGGAACAAATTCTTTACAGAGGCTAATAAAAGAGCCATGACCAGCCTATGAAACGTCCATGCCAGTACTTGCTGATCATGCTACTTAATAAAGTAGAGTGAATTTTGTTGACCGTAATTGCAAGCAGGAGCTTCTGTGTAAGAATATATGCATCACGAACACTTATTGTGGAAATTAGTAGTCTTCTGAGGCACCCAGCACCAACTACATCATAGTTTTGTTCCCATGATAGATGCCTTATTGTCATAGCAGGTTATGCTTTGCTCGGTGAATACTGAGCTTCCACGCACCGCATCGACACTTTTTGCCCGAAATTTTGCCGGGATTTTAGTTCGGAATTTCCTGCCGCAGTAATGTTAGCACCTTTTTTACGCATAGAACCCTCAAGTCTTGACCAATTTGTTTCTAATCGATTTCAGAAATTTTTATTGATAACGCGCTCTAGCGTCCTCAAAAGTTTTTTGTCTATTAATTTTTTTCATATTAGCACGTTGAAAGCTATGTCTAGTCAACCTTTTCACGCTTGAAATCTTCAAATCTGAACCGATTTTGTTCTAAGTAAAGGCATAGCTCATTATTCACATTACGCGGCTGCGAGTGTCGTCAGAATTCATTTGGTCCGCTTTGTTTTTCTTTAACGAGCAGCGCCAAGAATTTGCTAGTCAAATTATTGTGAGCCGGATGCGTCTTGCGGCAGTTTTGACTGCGTGACCTTTCGAGTTTCCCGCGCTTCTCCGGATCAACGCCGGTGAAGACGGAAGCAAGTGACAGTATATCACGTAAATCGTGGCGTACTACGCTATACAATGATGCCAGCTTGCACAATACTTTTCTTCGTGGCACTGTAAGCTACTTACACATGGTACGTTGCATCCATGATACGCTACATCCGTGACACACTGCATCCATGATGCGCCGCTGCATGCATCCGTGATACGGTGCATCCATGATACACTGAACCCATGATAAGCTTCATCCATGATTCGCTGCATCCATGACACACTGCATCCATGACACACTGCATCCATGACACACTGCATCCATGATACGCTGCATCCATGATACACTGCATCCATGACACACTGCATCCATGACACACTGCATCCATGACACACTGCATCCATGTCACACTGCATCCAGGGCTTCGTACTATTCGATCGCTAGACTTCACGCTATTCACTAGGAGTCAACATCTTGCAGCTGAGGGAGTCAACCTGACATATTCTCCAGGATTGCCGATATTACTGTTATATATAGCTAGATTTTAAAACTAACTTATAAGATGTTTTAACGGTTTCTAATCGTGAGGCTTACCAATCTCTGTGTCGTTGTCCAAACAAATAACTGTGAATCATAATTTTTAAATATTGTCACAATAAATATCGTATGGCAAGTGAAAGAACAAGTAGAGACGGGAGATTACTATGGACACACTAAATTTTTATATTCTCCACAGTCCACCAAACCAAACACTGGCCAACGTGTGCATTAGTCATATTCAAGGTCATGCAAGAGTAGCCGCGAGAACGAGCGAATGGCAGTGCATACGCCTGCCTAGACTAAGCTGTTGGACGCTTATCGAAAGTTTTCGACGTTATTCCTACCTGGCAATACAGTGAGGCTACAAGTGGTTAATAGTTCTATATTTCAGTAGTAACTGCTGCATGCTCTTACATCAGTGGGAGCAAAAAATTAAATTTATTTAGATTTGAAGAGATGTTAGAAACTTCGTTAACTACTTCGCTTAGGCGCTGAGGCTTGCTTCTCACGTCTGTCAATTCATATTCATCAGTTGGTAATCCTTAGTCGCAAGCATTAGAATGAGCGGCAATGAGAGGCCTTTATTTCTTATGAGAAATAAAGGCCTCTTTTTTTATTTCTTCTCTTCTTTTATGAGAGGCCTTTATTTCTTTATTAAATCCTGCAATTTACCGAAAATTTCACAAGGGATTTTTTTCAACGTAATTTTTCCGAACAGGGTTATTCCTTTCAACGCATATTAACTTGATACCTGAAAGTATGACTCTAGTCTCGATCATGTCACGGGGGTGCGCGTGTATTTTTCATCTGTGATGAGGGTCATTTTCAATTCGCATTTTAAGCTTCGCTTTTGCTCCCAATGCATTCACGTTGGTAATATCCAGTGCAAAGCAACGACCTCTCACAATGGAGTGTTCGTTTCAGTATCTACGAAGTATTTTCGTATTGTAAAATCAAATAGAAGCTATTGATTGAGAAATTAATCTAGGTGTCTGTTTTCTCCCGGAGTTTTTAGGTTTTTAGGTACAAGTAACCTGAATGCCGATGAATGTATCCGCAATTTGCAGACAAAATTGTGAGTGATGTCAGACAATTTTTGATTACGTAATTACATATGAATTTTTAATTAAAATCGTGTTAAGTTTTAATACCGCGATAAGAAAACAGTTTACAGTAGTTCCGTATGAATAACTTCTTTGCACTATGTACTCAAACGAATTCTGTTAACGATAAATGTACGAATGCAGCCAGGCACACTATGTAACTGTCCCAGTTGACTAAAGTCTCGACGCTGGACACCACTGCGGCTACACGTGGCTCAGAGAAGTCTCCCTGGGCGATCTGTCACCGTGTCACGGTTACCTAACTTAGATATGTGAAGTTTGTGGACAACGCCTCGTTCACATTCGTCCTATTCGCTCATTACCCATTGCTAGCAAGTTCTTGTCATATTCCTCGAGAACTGAATACATGGGCATCTCGAATATAGGGTCTGTTGATCGATTACTTAGATGTAATGGTCATAAAAAAATCATATTTTTTATTCGTGATGCTTTAGTTGGGTGGATGTACGCTTCTATTTTCGCATAGTAACGTCAAAACTAACTTCAGTAAAACCTGTCAATATACATCGAATGTACAGCGACAGCAATAAACGATTTTTATTGCTGAACTACGACTATTTGAACTCTTTGGTTTGTGACAGCCTAAAAATATAGGGAATGGAAATAACTAGAAGTGTACCCACGTTAGAATTTTCATTTGCTAACTAAACCCGCACTCGATAATGTGAACGACTTCATTGGTGCGAGCCTCTAAGGTGACTCGCACACTATAGACGCTGTTGAAAAAGTTCTTGGTTTTATCGTATGGAGACGTGAAACACTTTTTTAGGACTCCTAAGCGATATTAGATTAATGCATTAATTCAAATATTTTAATGTGACTTCGACTGGTGCTAAATGCTGGAATACTGGTACTCCATGTTCATCAATAAAGTTGTTTCTTAGTCGTCTGCATCGAGGATGGGCGGGGCTTTCTAGTTGAAATTAGGAAGTAATATTACAGGCCTGCCATTGACTGCGTCAAAGTAAACTTATTGAATTTTATCGATCTATTCGTCGTCTATAATAATGGGCCATTTTATCGCATACATTGATTTGTTTCAAATCGAGTTCGAAAAATCTTACTATGCTACAGCTCTAGAGTAGACAGTAGACTGATAATGAAGCTTTCTATTGGTATTTCGGATGCCACAGCTCGACCAATCAGACGTTGACACGCGTCTTCAATATGAGCACGCAAGAGACGCCGACAAAGGTCCTACATATACTTGATCATCTTCTTCGTCATGTTGTCATACTGCGTTTTGCCACCGTCGCGGATAGACGAAATGAAATTATACTTCGTAGAATGTTGTGTAATACTGTGATGTGCAGATTGGACACTAGTGGAAATGTTAGAATTTTTGTGTGTGACAAGTGCGTTTTAAAATGGGGAATAACTTCAGCCCGGCTCACTATATTTTCTCCCATTTATTGCTGAAGTATTCCCTCCTAGGCTCGTACAGTCTCTTAGTTAGACAAAGTACACTATCAGGACAAAATTTTGACTGTGTTTTCCTGTGTTCAAGTACTAATTGGTTTGTAATACTTAATGTCATTGTGTATGCAGGTATTGTGTACCTGGTGGCGAATCATGATAGTTTTACTAACTGGCGAACCAAAGCTTTTCGTAGGACGAACCGCTCGTCCTGACCGTCTGACCTAACGCTTTTCACGAGAATTACGCAATATTACTAGCCTAATGCCTTCTAGAGGCAATTTTTTGTGCCCCTAGCAAGAACAAGGAAGCGAAATGAGAACGGAAAAACGCTGGAGGTGAGTAATGCGTTCAGAAGCTGGAATATTCGGAATAATTTGTTACACCGATAGGTCATAGGTATTAGGGAATTCTGTGAATGGAAGTTACCTAATTGCATTCAAGATCGATATTTCACGGAACTTGTTCCGTCCCGAAATGTCGTTCTTAAAGAATGGTTAAGTTTCAGGATATTTGATCTAATATGCGTGGACCTAATATTAATATTATGATAAGGACATGTTTTCACATGCATGTGGAATTTTGAAAGACTATGAGAAGTAAATGAAATATGCTATTAAATATGAACATTTTTTTTCACTGAGCTTTTATATGAGGCGGTAACTACACATTCGCTAATCGCTATTTACATACTTCAGGAATTTGGCGTCAAACCAAACGCCATAGGTACCTACATTCCTGAGCCTCCTCGCACTACTGAACAGAACTCTTCCCGTGAGTAATTTCGTGTTCGAATGATCTTAGACTATCCTCATTTACTCATACAAAAAATTTAATAGGAAGCATAGTTGCATTAGATAAGTCAAGAATAACCATTGATTTGTTAGGAAAGCAAATTTGTTGATTTAGATTTAGCCAAGAATTATTTCGCTGTAAAACCCTACTGTGATTGAAATGTTCTTTTATATTCAGATATAAATGACGTCTCCTGGAACGCCTTGTAGGGGAGGCCAGGAGAAGAAATATGTAGAAGTTAAGCCATTATTTTAAAATGCAATCGAAAAATCATTTTGATTAGGTCGTGTAATATTTCTAGCTACGTGTCGTTTCAGTTTCAAGAAACGGTTTCAGTTTTGCTTCAGTTTCGTGCATTACCTACAATCAATTGGAAATTGCTTACAAAATTATTCGGTTCCCTTGTTAGATTCTCTAGGTCAATGAGCTCGAATGTTTACCGGGTCGTGGACGCGTTCCTATAACCATGTTTGAATTTTATTAATTTTATTTCATGACTTGATGCCACTGATGAGAAGTTTCATTTATATTTTAGCCTATTCATTGTATTATTTATTATTCGGTAAAATTTAGTTTGGTAGAGTTAATTCGCAGTGTCGAGCGGATAGCATAAAAAATGAAATGGGCTAATATACTTCAAATCGAATTCTGATATTCAAATAACGTTAAATTTCACGCATGTAACAAGACGTTATAAACATGAATCACAACACATTCTCATTCTGGGTCGAAGACACGACTAATGCGGGTATTACCAAATTTAATAAAAATTATTAATCTCACTATTTCATAATATTAACCTGTCCAAAGTGTGCTTAGGGGCAACTATTTACATGATTAATTACGATTTTCTTTTCGTTTAGAGTTAGGTATCTGCTACCTCTATTTGAGAAGCAGCATTCTAAATGCTCGTACACACGGTGACGTAGATTAGGGACGGGTAGTCATTTTCTTGTATAGATGATTTAAAGCTTCTTTGCATCCATGTATTGAACTTTGTGTTACTCACATGCATTTCAAATTTTAGTTGAAATACTCGCAATAAATGCGTTTCTGTTGTTTAAATGTCGTAATCTAGCATTATCTATTGCCAACATTTTTTGTCTCGTCAGGTCCCACGGAAGATGGGCTTGATGCCTTGATCAACCGAGTGAAGAGATAATGTTCGTGGACCTACCTCTGCTACCGCCAGTTCATCATCGCCACCTCCTCGAGTCAGAAGGTACTAGGTTTTTAAACGATTTGACAGTGCAGTGAAGGTACAATGTTTACTCGTAATTTATTCAAGGACAATGAAATTGATTATATGGTGCCAAAATGTCAATGGAATATTTACAAAAATTACATTTTGATTGAAGTTAAAGCGCAGGGCTGCTGACTCAGAAAATAAATTTTGAACGTTTGGCGTACATTATGGTATTGGCAACTTAGAAAGAAGATTAAGAAATTGACAATTGATGTCTCGCGAGCACAGGACTATTAATTAGGTGGATTTGTGCCACTCCGAACGGCGTCATAATTAGTTTTTAGTTTTTACCCAGACGACTCGTTCATGTGAATTGAATCAGATGGACGCTTATTGTCGATTGCATGAAGCATTATCAACTGCGAGCGAATGTCTGACTATTTTCCAAACTTGGTGAATAGGATAATTCGCGCTTTCTAAACTCGGCAATACTGTAATAATACGTATAAATTTACAGCACATCGTTATTAATTCAAACTTTTCTTGCCTCCTATGGGAAATGGCAAATCAGTATTGCACTGTGATACTGAGGAACTAACATTGAAACTTCGTCAAAGAGCGTTTGTGATACTTATTTCAAAGATATTTTGCTTCTTTCTTAGAATACAACTTCCGCTTCGTTTTTATTCTGCGACATTTTCTAGGTATGACTCCATTGATGCGAAATACAACACTAATGTCTCTATTGCAGAAACAGTGCATGGTAATTCTGCCGAAGCACGAGAATTTCACCTCGATCCCGTGGAGGACATGGGTTCATCCAGGTGGCAGAACTGCTTACGTCTTTGCGAAGACCACGTGGCTGCCTGCGCAAGACCAGACGTCAGCGAGGACTGCCGTACACTAATACAGGGCTCCCAGCCAACAATTTGAGAAAAACTTAGATGGTTGCTGAAAAACACCCAGATTCTGCAGATTTTGTGGGGAAAAAACCCAGACGACAATGAGGTGCCAAAACAAAATTATTTCCTTCTTATTAAATTTTAGTGTATAGCATTACACTAATGGAAAAATTCATTTTAGAAAACTATTAGCTGATTGAAGGCATTAAGCGATTGAACAAAACAAATTGGCAAAAACAAAATTATTTCCTTCTTATTAAATTTTAGTGTATAGCATTACACAAAATTGAAAAATTCAATTCAGAAAACTATTAGCTGATTGGAGGCATTAAACGATTGCAGCATAAACAATCTGTTGCTACTAAGAATCGAGAGGAACAATAATTTACTGACGACCTGAAAACAATAGACTACATTCAAACATGACCTCCTTCACCTTTACTATGAGAGGATAGCTAGCGAAGATTGAAGAGACTGTAAAATAGTTACCTTTAAAAAAATCTGAACAGAAAATATCGAAGCTCGGATTACTTTTGTTGTGCCTACAGCGTAATCCGTAGATTATTGCAACACGCATGAGTGAAGCCTGTTTTTTTCATTGTACTAGCGTCAACTGCTGCTGATCGCGTCTTGCAGTACTGAGTGCCGTCACCGTGTTGGTGAGTGCGCTGCTACGAGCTAACAGACGCATGCATAATTGAGTTCTGATGCCGCACTCTAAGCGTTCTGACGCCTTAAATTGCCAACAAACCGGCGCCCGTAACTCCTTGCCTCACTTGTTCCTGCATAGGGGCTCAGGCGCCGATTTTGCGGGGTTACCTCAGATGTGCAATTAGCCCTCCAATTGACTATTTGATTCAGCAGGCTGTGGAGTGAGGTAGGTGTTGCTTAAAGTTGGTTTGGGGAGATGACTCAGTTACGTACAGCTTCTTGGGTGTGAGCTGAGTTTAGTTATTGCATTATAGGGTAGGCGTTGGCGCCAGGGCTTGTTTACGAGCTAAATTTGTGGTGTAGGGCTGCGCTCCCTTCCGATTATTCGCAAGTATGTTAGTTGCTGGGAGCGCAGCCCTACACAACAAATTTAGCTCGTAAACAAGCCCTGAAGCCAACGCCTACCCGATAATGCAATAACTAAACTCAGTTCACACCCAAGAAGCTGTAGGTAACTGAGTCATCTCCCCACACCAACTTTAAGCAACACCTACCTTACTCCACAGCCTGCTGAATCAAATAATCAATTGTCAACAGGTCCTACTTCACAGAATTTTACCCCATACTGTCACTTCATACACACGCCGTAAGCCTTACTGGTCGCAGGTCACGCCGGATCATCGTAAACCTGCTCTGCTATTTGCAGGACTGGCGTAATCCCGCTGCACTCCACGAGCAGAAGCGCAAACCGCCGTCCCTATAACGCCATGCCCCGGCTCTCCCCCTTCGCAGCCATAAGGCTTTCTTCAATTGCTGATCAGTTGTGCGCCAGGATAGGTTAGGTCCCTCCATCGCGCCAGGCGCATTACTGATCGGGCAACGAGAAAAGCCTTCTGCTGGCTGCGAAGGGGGAGAGCCGGGGCATGGCGTTATAGGGATGGCGGTTTTGCGCTTTAGCCTGTGGAGTAGAGCGCCATGAAGCAGTGGCTGTGACGTAACGGCGCTGTTATGTAAGGCGTTTATTTTCAAAAGCCGCGAATACGCCAGGCTGTGTTTAATACAAGCACGCAACAGTTAGGCTATTTGCCCACGGCTGTTGCTTCGGTGGCTTGATGTTATCTGGCTGATTGATTCATATCCAGGAAAGGAAATGACGCCTATGGCTTTAGGCACTTAATCACACAGGCTAATATGCCCTCTAGCGTGATTGCGAGCGGAAAGGAATAGATATTGAATTGTGGGCAGGGGCTATGTAGCGGTCTATACTGCGTCCCTTAGTTGCTCATGTTTCGTTACTATCTATTCTATTAATCTGTATCATCTGGTTTCATGATGGAGTTACATTTAAGTATAAGGATGAATTTGGTTATTTCTGAAGAACTACAAATTAAACAAGGATAGATTTCTATCGAGCTCAGCAATATTGGAAGGGTCACTGAATTAGACGTTGGAATTTAGTCTATTCTTCATTTTTCAGCAGTTGCACGCAATATCTTCAGATTCCGGTAAAATTGTTTGCTGAACGAATGGTTTCTTCAATCTAAGAACTTTTCAGCTTTGGGCATATGTCTGCATGCTTGAGCTTATTGCTCAAGAATAAGATGGCTTATGAACTATCGCTTCCAAGGAACCCATTTGTCAGCAACATATTTTATTTCAGGATTTCTCGCTATTTATTTGATTGTCTCTCCAGTAATTTAGAGTGCAGTTGATAGCGTTAATGCTTGAGAAGAACTACATGTGAAACTCAAAACTCTCATTGCAGCAGCCGACGATGGATGCAGAAAGATCCTCATTTGCTATGAAGTGTGAACAACTGAATGCTGCAATCAAGTTGCTGTGTTACCTCGATTTTGTTAAGATTAACACGTGCTTCTCCACTCTATTGTGTGGTCTTTCTTTCGTCAATGGACGCAGAATTTTGAGGCCCTTGCAGAACTGTTTGCTCGATACAAATTTAATGTGACGAAAATTACATGACATGATACGGCATATAATTCAACGATTATTTTAAACTCAACATTGTTCATTCAGCAGGATATATGGATGGAATAGGAAAAATTGGCTTGACTTGCATTACCTCAAATATGTTATATTGATGTATCGATTGAATTTTTTTATTTGCGATTATTGCCCTCATTTCTAACTACACCATGTCAAAATAGTTAATAGTTGTAAACGTCAATGCATGGAAATTGAGCTTCTGATAGACTGTGATCTGATCTTAAAACTAAGCGAGTAATACTAGACTCCATATACATGTATATATAGCGTACAGAGATTCTAATGCCACCTCCCTTCCCCTCATTATATGAGAGGAAGGGAGGGGGCATGTTTAACGCATTTTTCAGATTCGGCCGTGTCTGTCCCGAACCTATCAGGTGCCAAATACGCTCGCCCCACAGTCGCCCCTCGGTTGCCAAGGAATAGACCGTATCTTAAGCAGGCACTTATTTCCCTCGTAAAACCAGAAGCTGAAGCGGACGTAGAGCCGCTAATTTACTCCTCATGGCGATCTTTGGGGCGTCCTTGAGCCAGCGGCTGACAAGAATCAAAATTTTGATAAGGTATTGGGGTCTGCTCAAATAATGTTTCATCTGAATTTTATACCATTAAGACTACAACACTTGCTGACGACCGTCATTTTGTTGTGTTCCAACTGAATTCCACATACGCTATCAAAGTAAAAAATAAGTGAAACAATGTACAATTTTTTTCTATAAATGCATGTTATTTAGAGAAGTATTTTTCGGTAAAAAAAACTTTCATGTCAAGAGAATATCGAACTTGATATCACAAAAAAAATATGGTATATATCAGGACCTGCACTCCACGCACCACAAAAACAACTGCATTAGCGGCCGGAACTTGGCTGAGAATACGAGTTCTGCGTTGAAAATTCAGGTTTGAAAAAGTATGATACGTAGCACAAGTTAAAAAGTTATTAATTTTGAGAACCTGTGAGCCCGCGAAAAGAACATGGTAGCAACTTCCGAGATTATAATACGTTATCATGAGAGATATCATGTTGCAAATTTGTAAGATACGTTCCATTGTTACCTTTTAAAGACAATGTTCGGCTTTCAATCTGATCTATTTGATGATACTAGACATATTTGATCATTCGACTCATTTTAAATTATTATTATATATTATTATAAATTTATGGTAAGACAAGTGAATTTTTGATCCAATGATGATATTTCTTACTATGAATTTTATCTACAAATTTATAGAACTTGCATATATTTTCATAACATAACATAACATAGTGATGTCGGCTCTGAAGTGTAGGCCTGATGTGGCCTGTCGCCGATTCTTTTCCATTTCGTGCCTTGTTCATAGATCTAAACTCGTGTCATTTGACCGGATCTTTTCATGACTGGCGATAGTTTGAAGNCGACGCGTAGGCGGGTGGAGAGGGGGCGGGTGGAGAGGGGGAGGTGTAGGGGCCAAGAGGGTGGGGAGGGTATAGGAAGGCGAGGCCTGAGCGCAGTCAAGGCAGCGATTGTTCTCGGGTTACCGGCAGTCGCCGAGGGTTTTCAAAAACTTGCCCTCGTTTCACGCACTAGAATTTGTCGGGAATAAAGCACTTGTACTAGCCGTTTTTCTCACTATTCGCACAATTTTGATTGAACTACACTAACATTCATTAGAAATTAATCGGATTTAAATGACAATTAAATTAATAACAAAAGAGTTACTCAGCTAAAGAAAACGTTTGGCACAAGGCACAGTGCAGTGCTATTTTTTAATCAGGCAGCATTGGCATTAAATTTCGCTTCAACATGGGAGCTCTGCCACAAGACAAAAATAGACAATAACACATAAATTGCAAAAATTTCACACAACTTCAAACTTTGAAGATATACTTTCAAATAGCATTAGTATGTTGTTTCAACAGCTAAATTCCCCCGATAACCCGACGTATTCAGATCTGTTGACATCTCAATTAATTGATATTACTATTGCATAGTCTGGGGTTATGATTCGTGACGATCTAAACACTCAGGGATAAATATCATGTTGTCTAATTTCTAATCATAGTAAATGAAGCGTTAATACGCATTGAAAGCTACGATTACTATACTCCGCCGTTTTCCGAAAAAGTAACCGGCATTTGAGTCACTTTAAGGTCTTTAGCTCACACTATAATGATTATAAAATTTACAGTAAGTTATATCTCTTACATATCACACTCTGAAAATTCCCTGTGAATTATTTTCAAGTCATTCTTTCAATGAAGAAAGTAACATTTCGTTCTGCGACTTCAGGGTCGGAGAAAAAATGGAAACACACGTCGGATTTTGTGACTGGATTGACACTTCTTCGAACTCGCCAGCGAA